TCCTCCAAGGGATCCTCAGGGGTTCCCCAAGGATCCTTCAAAGATTCCTCCAAAGGTTGTCCAAGGATCCTTCAAAGATTCCCCAAGGGTTTCTCAAAGGTTCCCCAAAGGTCTGCCAAGGGTTCCTCAAGGATCCTCCATGGGTTCCTCAAAGGTTCCCCAAGGATCCTTCAAAGATTCCTCCAAGGGTTCCCCAAGGATCCTCCAAAGGTCCTCCAAGAGTTCCCCAAGGATCCTCCAAGGATTCCTCAAGGGTTCCTCAAGGGTTCCCCAAGGGTTCCCCAACGATCCTCCAAGGGTTCCTCAGGGGTTCCCCAAGGATCCTTCAAAGATTCCTCCAAAGGTTGTCCAAGGATCCTTCAAAGATTCCTCCAAGGGTTCCCCAAGGATCCTCCAAAGGTTCCCCAATGGATCTCCAAGGCTTCCTCCAGGCTTCTGCACGGATTCCCTCAGGTTTCCCCAAAGGTTCTCCCAAGGGTTCCCCAAAGGTCCTACCCCACATTTCCCCATGGCCCCCCAAGATTTCCCCCCCCAGCTCCCCCGTGGTTGATGCACCCAGCCCGCTGTCTGTCCAGCTTTACCTCCTCCTCTCCACCAGCACCAGCACCTCGTTGTCCCCTTGGATGGCTGCAAGAAAAATCGTGGGGACCCATCAGGAGCCTCCAACTCCATCCTGGGCCGAGCGAGAGGACGGAGAACCAAACAGGGACCCCCACCCCCTCCCACTGCACACCTCACATGAACCCCTTTGCAAGACCACCCCCGGGACCCCTCCCCAATCGCTTACACAACTCCTGCAGCTTCCTCAGCTGCACGGCCTCCTGCTTCTGCCCATCCCTGGAGCAGACGTGGAGCGTGGAACCCACCAAAGCAAACCAGCCCTCCTCGGGGCGCTCCAGGCTCAGCCCCCCTTTGTACATCAGCCTCCCGAGTCGCTCGAAGTCGTGGCCCAAAAGCTCCTCGGCGCAGGGTGGGATGAAGGACTTTTGGGGGAGAGGATGGAGGGTAAAAGGGGGTCAGAGGAACCCCCAGCCCCAATCGCAGCCCCTCGGGTTGGAGAGCAGCTCCTACCTTGGCGAGGGAGCGCAGCCAATCGCGGGCGCCGTCGGGGTTGTCTGAGCCGAAGAGGTAGAGCCTCTCCGACTCGATGTAGACCTCAAAGGTGAACTCGATGCTGGGGGGGAGTGGGACCAGTTTGGGGTCAGATTTGGGGATCCCATGGGTCCCCTCCGATGGTGGGAGTCCCACAGTGCCCCCGTGTTGGGTTCCTTCCGATTGGGGATCTCCCATCGTATCCCAGAATTTTATGCAGATGATGGGTGGGTCCTCGCAGTTTGGGGTCAGATTTGGGGATCCTATGGGTCCCTTCCAGTTGGGGATGTCCCACAAGATCCCATAATTTTACACCGGTGATGGTTGGGTCCTCCAACATGGGGTCAGATTTGGGGATCCTATGACTCCCTTCCAATTGGGGATGTCCCATTGTATCCCTCAATTTTATGCAGATGATGGGTGGGTCATCCCAATTTGGGGTCAGATTTGGGGATTCCATGACTCCCTTCCAACTGGGGATCTCCCATAGTATCCCCCAATTTTACAGAGATGATGGTGGGGTCCTCCCAGTTTGGGGTCAGATTTGGGGATCCTATGGGTCCCTTCCAATTGGGGATGTCCCACAAGATCCCATAATTTTACACCAGTGATGGTTGGGTTCTCCAACATGGGGACAGATTTTGGGATCCTATGGTTACCTTCCAATTGGGGATGTCCACAATATCCCATAATTTTACGCAGATGATGGGTGGGTCATCCCAATTTGGGGTCAGATTTTGGGATTCCATGACTCCCTTCCAATTGGGGATCTCCCATAGTATCCCCCAATTTTACGCAGATGATGGTGGGGTCCTCCCAATGTGGGGTCAGATTTCGGGATCCTATGGGTCCCTTCCAGTTGGGGATGTCCCACAAGATCCCAGAATTTTACACAGATGATGGTTGGGTCCTCCCAATTTGGGGTCAGATTTGGGGATTCCATGACTCCCTTCCAACTGGGGATCTCCCATCGCATCCCCCAATTTTACACAGATGATGGTGGGGTCCTCCCAATTTGGGGTCAGATTTGGGGATCCTATGGGTCCCTTCCAGTTGGGGATGTCCCAAAATATCCCATAATTTTACGCAGATGATGGTTGGGTCCCCCAACATGGGGTCAGATTTGGGGATCCTATGGTTCCCTTCCAATTGGAGATGTCCCACAAGATCCCAGAATTTTACGCAGATGATGGGTGGGTCCTCCCAGTTTGGGGTCAGATTTGGGGATTCCATGACTCCCTTCCAATTGGGGATCTCCCATAGTATCCCCCAATTTTACAGAGATGATGGTGGGGTCCTCCCAGTTTGGGGTCAGATTTTGGGATCCTATGGTTCTCTTCCAATTGGGGATGTCCCACAAGATCCCATAATTTTACACCGGTGATGGTTGGGTTCTCCAACATGGGGACAGCTTTTGGGATCCTACGTTTCCCTTCCAACTGGGGATGTCCACAATATCCCATAATTTTACACTGATGATGGGTGGGTCCTCCCAATTTGGGGTCAGATTTTGGGATTCCATGACTCCCTTCCAATTGGGGATCTCCCATAGTATCCCCCAATTTTACACAGATGATGGGTGGGTCCTCCCAGTTTGGGGTCAGATTTCAGGATCCTATGGTTCCCTTCCAATTGGGGATGTCCCACAAGATCCCATAATTTTACACCAGTGATGGTTGGGTTCTCCAACATGGGGACAGATTTTGGGATCCTACGCTTCCCTTCCAATTGGGGATGTTCCACAAGATCCCATAATTTTACGCAGATGATGGGTGGGTCCTCCCAGTTTGGGGTCAGATTTGGGATCCCATGACTCCCTCCCAATTGGGGATGTCCCACAACACCCCACACTTCCACGACTTCCCTCCCGTGCCGGTTGAATCCCCCCAATGACCCCAAAACTTTGGGACCCCTCGTGCCCCCCAACACCGCGATGGGAACCCAAGACCTCAGCAATAGGATTAATCCCTCACAAGGTCCCGGGGTGGGAGGGCCGTTATTTTTGGGGTGGCACCGGGGGTCCCCAGCCGTACCCGTGGCTGTGGGGCGGGTTGTTCACCAGGCAGACGATTTCCGCCACCTTGATCTCGCCGTTGGGCGCCGCGTTGCGGTCGTTCTCGTAGTAGCTGAGGACGCCGTCCTGCAGCGCGCACCACCGCCGGCTGAACTCTGCGTGCCGATGCCAATGGGGGTCACCCGTGGCCACCCGTGGCCACCCAAGGCCACCCACGATCACCTCGGGTCACCCATGGCCACCCAGGGCCAACCAAGGCCATCAACGGTCACCCATGATCACCTCGGGTCACTCATAGCCACCCAAGGCCACCCAAGGCCACTCATGATCACCTGGGGCCGCCCATGGCCACCCAAGGCCACCCAAGTCCAACCGTGATCACCTCGGATCACCCATGGCCACCCACGGCCAACCAAGGCCATCAACGGTCACCCATGATCACCTCGGGTCACTCATAGCCACCCAAGGCCACCCATAGCCACCCAAGGCCACCCATGGCCACCCATGATCACCTGGGGTCACCCACGGCAACCCAAGGCCATCTGGAGCCACTTAAGGCCACCCATGGCCACCTAACTCCACTCATGGCCACCCACGGCCACCCATGGTCACCCAAGGCCACCCAAGGCCAACTGTGATCCCCTCGGGTCACCCATGGCCACCCACAGCCAACCAAGGCCACCAATGGCCACCCACGATCACCTCGGGTCACTCATAGCCACCCAAGGCCACCCAAGGCCACCCATGGCCACCCAAGGCCACCCATGATCACCTCAGGTCACGCGTGGCCACCCACAGCCAACCAAGGCCATCAACGGTCACCCATGATCACCTCAGGTCACTCATAGCCACCCAAGGCCACCCATGGCCACCCAAGGCCATCTGGGGGCACCCAAAGCCACCCATGGCCACCCATGATCACCTGGGGCCGCCCATGGCCACCCAAGGCCATCTGGAGCCACTTAAAGCCACCCCAGGCCACCTAAGTCCACTCATGGCCACCCATGGCCACCCAAGGCCACCCAAGGCCACCCAAGTCCAACCATGATCACCTCGGGTCACCCATGGCCACACACGGCCACCCAAGACAATCAAAGGCCACCCATGATCACCTCAGGTCACTCATAGCCACCCAAGGCCACCCATGGCCACCCATGATCACCTGGGGTCACCCACGGCAACCCAAGGCCATCTGGAGCCACTTAAGGCCACCCATGGCCACCTAACTCCACTCATGGCCACCCACGGCCACCCATGGTCACCCAAGGCCACCCAAGGCCAACTGTGATCACCTCGGGTCACCCATGGCCACCCACAGCCAACCAAGGCCACCAATGGCCACCCACGATCACCTCGGGTCACTCATAGCCACCCAAGGCCACCCAAGGCCACCCAAGGCCATCTGGGGGCACCCAAAGCCACCCATGGCCACCCATGGTCACCTGGGGCCGCCCATGGCCACCCAAGGCCAACTGGAGCCACTTAAAGCCACCCCAGGCCACCTAAGTCCACTCATGGCCACCCACAGCCACCCATGGCCACCCGCGGCCACCGCATGACCACCAATGGCCACCCATGATCACCTGGCGCCACGCACAGCCACCCAAGGCCACCTAAGTCCACTCATGGCCACCCAAGGCCACCCAAGGCCACCCAAGACCATCAACGGCCACCCATGATCACCTCAGGTCACTCATAGCCACCCAAGGCCACCCATGGCCACCTGGGGCCACCCAGGACCACCAGAGGCCACCCAACCCCCCC